CCAGGCCTGGGGCCCACAGGGATGTCTGCTGGGGTCCCAGGGCTGTGCCCATGCTCTGCACCCGGCTGTGGGCCCAACACAGGGGAAGCGGGAGGGAGGGATGCGTGGGGTGCAGGCCCCAGCAGCGGGAAATGCCACTGGGCCTGGTGGTGTGGTGGCTACAGGCTTGGGAGGGCTGCAGGCTGCAGAGGCCTGTGGCCCGTTAGACGCCCAAGAACCTGGCCAAACGGTGACGTCGGAACAGCAGGTGTGGGGGCTCCTTGGAGGAGCTCATAGGCCCTGGCCGACCTTTCCTTTCGCATTCTGCAGGCCACGGGGGCCTCCTGCTCTAGAAGGCTCCTCTGGGCTCGGCCCATGCCCAGGCCCCACCACCTGGCCAGTTCTCGGTTTGGGTCGAGACCTCAGCACCACGGGCTCTGTCCGGGACACCTGGCCGACAGGCTCACAATGACTCAGCTGCCCGCGGGGTAATTTTGGAAGTTTCAGCAGGTGATGCGGTACCAGAGTCTTGAGAAGAACGAGAAAAACAAGAGACAGGACCAGGGCTCAGTGACTGATCAGGGCTCAGTGACCAGGACCAGGGCTCAGTGACTGATCAGGGCTCAGTGACCAGGACCAGGGCTCAGTGACTGATCAGGGCTCAGTGACCAGGACCAGGGCTCAGTGACTGATCAGGGCTCAGTGACCAGGACCAGGGCTCAGTGACTGATCAGGGCTCAGTGACCAGGACCAGGGCTCAGTGATTGGGACCAGGGCTCAGTGACCAGGATCAGGGCTCAGTGACCAGGACCAGGGCTCAGTGACTGATCAGGGCTCAGTGACCAGGACCAGGGCTCAGTGACTGATCAGGGCTCAGTGACCAGGACCAGGGCTCAGTGACTGATCAGGGCTCAGTGACCAGGACCAGGGCTCAGTGACTGATCAGGGCTCAGTGACCAGGACCAGGGCTCAGTGACTGATCAGGGCTCAGTGACCAGGACCAGGGCTCAGTGACTGATCAGGGCTCAGTGACCAGGACCAGGGCTCAGTGATTGGGACCAGGGCTCAGTGACCAGGATCAGGGCTCAGTGACCAGGACCAGGGCTCAGTGACTGATCAGGGCTCAGTGACCAGGACCAGGGCTCAGTGACTGATCAGGGCTCAGTGACCAGGACCAGGGCTCAGTGACTGATCAGGGCTCAGTGACCAGGACCAGGGCTCAGTGACTGATCAGGGCTCAGTGACCAGGACCAGGGCTCAGTGACTGATCAGGGCTCAGTGACCAGGACCAGGGCTCAGTGACTGATCAGGGCTCAGTGACCAGGACCAGGGCTCAGTGATTGGGACCAGGGCTCAGTGACCAGGATCAGGGCTCAGTGACCAGGACCAGGGCTCAGTGACTGATCAGGGCTCAGTGACCAGGACCAGGGCTCAGTGACTGATCAGGGCTCAGTGACCAGGACCAGGGCTCAGTGACTGATCAGGGCTCAGTGACCAGGACCAGGGCTCAGTGACTGATCAGGGCTCAGTGACCAGGACCAGGGCTCAGTGACTGATCAGGGCTCAGTGACCAGGACCAGGGCTCAGTGACTGATCAGGGCTCAGTGACCAGGACCAGGGCTCAGTGATTGGGACCAGGGCTCAGTGACCAGGATCAGGGCTCAGTGACCAGGACCAGGGCTCAGTGACTGATCAGGGCTCAGTGACCAGGACCAGGGCTCAGTGACTGATCAGGGCTCAGTGACCAGGACCAGGGCTCAGTGACTGATCAGGGCTCAGTGACCAGGACCAGGGCTCAGTGACTGATCAGGGCTCAGTGACCAGGACCAGGGCTCAGTGACTGATCAGGGCTCAGTGACCAGGACCAGGGCTCAGTGACTGATCAGGGCTCAGTGACCAGGACCAGGGCTCAGTGATTGGGACCAGGGCTCAGTGACCAGGATCAGGGCTCAGTGACCAGGACCAGGGCTCAGTGACTGATCAGGGCTCAGTGACCAGGACCAGGGCTCAGTGACTGATCAGGGCTCAGTGACCAGGACCAGGGCTCAGTGACTGATCAGGGCTCAGTGACCAGGACCAGGGCTCAGTGACTGATCAGGGCTCAGTGACCAGGACCAGGGCTCAGTGACTGATCAGGGCTCAGTGACCAGGACCAGGGCTCAGTGACTGATCAGGGCTCAGTGACCAGGACCAGGGCTCAGTGATTGGGACCAGGGCTCAGTGACCAGGATCAGGGCTCAGTGACCAGGACCAGGGCTCAGTGACTGATCAGGGCTCAGTGACCAGGACCAGGGCTCAGTGACTGATCAGGGCTCAGTGACCAGGACCAGGGCTCAGTGACTGATCAGGGCTCAGTGACCAGGACCAGGGCTCAGTGACTGATCAGGGCTCAGTGACCAGGACCAGGGCTCAGTGACTGATCAGGGCTCAGTGACCAGGACCAGGGCTCAGTGACTGATCAGGGCTCAGTGACCAGGACCAGGGCTCAGTGATTGGGACCAGGGCTCAGTGACCAGGATCAGGGCTCAGTGACCAGGACCAGGGCTCAGTGACTGATCAGGGCTCAGTGACCAGGACCAGGGCTCAGTGACTGATCAGGGCTCAGTGACCAGGACCAGGGCTCAGTGACTGATCAGGGCTCAGTGACCAGGACCAGGGCTCAGTGACTGATCAGGGCTCAGTGACCAGGACCAGGGCTCAGTGACTGATCAGGGCTCAGTGACCAGGACCAGGGCTCAGTGACTGATCAGGGCTCAGTGACCAGGACCAGGGCTCAGTGATTGGGACCAGGGCTCAGTGACCAGGATCAGGGCTCAGTGACCAGGACCAGGGCAGTGATCAGGACCAGGGCTCAGTGACCAGGACCAGGGTTCAGTGATCACGACAAGGGAGCCGGGCCCACTTCCTGTGAGGGGGGCATGAGGTTGGTTCCCTTCTCCCCGAAGCCTCCCCCGGCCCCTGCCCCCTCTCCTCATTCAGAGACAGAGAACCACTGTGTTTGTCACAAGTTTATTGTACCAGGAAGGCCCGTGTGGGGATGGGCGGGTGCTTCCACGCCGGGCTTGGCTCTGGTGTCCGCTTGGGCTCTGGGAGTCTCTTCCATGCTCCTTCCTGCAAACACAGGAGGGTCAGGGCCTGGGGTCGCTCCTGAGGGGGCAGGGTCCTTGCCAACGCCCCACCCTCAGCCCCGGGCTGGCTCAGGGCAGACTGGATGGAACCCTGCAGTGGATGCACCGGGTGGGAAGCAGATTCCCTGACCCTGTAGGGGGGACATCTGTGCTCCGGGCCCCGGCCTGCCCATGTCCTTGGTGTCTGTGAGGGACGACTCCCTCAGATTCCAACTCCCCTGTGGTATATGCTTCCCTGCTAGCCAGGTGCCCCATGCCCCATTAGCCCACCACGCTGTCTCCTCGCCCCCACCTGTGCCTGGCTCCTGCTCAGACATGTCCTCAATGTCTGTGAGGAACGACTCCCTCAGATTCCAACCCCCCTGTGGTATATGCTTCCCTGCTAGCCAGGTGCCCCTTGCCCCATTAGCCCACCACGCTGTCTCCTCTCCCCCACCTGTGCCTGGCTGGCTCCTGCTCAGAACGAGGGGCCCTCCCTGCTGCTGGGTGGGCCCCGGACGCTTGTCACGGTCAGTGCTGTGCTGTAGAAGAGGCTGAGCAGGAAGAGGGTGAGCAGGGTGACCGTAGTGGGCCACAGGCTGGCTCCCGGGGCGTCCTCCTCCAGGTCCTCCTTTGGCAGGTCTATCATCGGCCAGGGAAGCAGCTCCTGGCAACCTGCAAGACACTGAGCGCCTGCAAAGCATGCGCCTGCGTGGGTGTGGGCCGAGCCACCGCCCTCCCTCCCCGCACCTCTGGGGTCGGGGCACAGCAGTGTGGTTCCTTATCTCACAGGCAAGGCTGCCTTAGAGAGGATGAGGTGGCAGGTCCCTGGAGAAGGGGCTGGGGCCACTGTGGCTCTGGAGATGCCCACAGGGCCTCTGTCTGGGAGGGTCTCAGGCCGCCTTAGGGAGAGAGAGCTGGCAGGGCAGGAGGGTGGGCACTGTCTTTGCTGCTCCAAGGAGAGCTCAAGCCCAAGCCCTATCTGTGTCCTCACCACGCTCCTGCTCTTGGGCTGAGCCGGCCTGGGCCCTGAAGGGGCTGGAGAGGATGGACGAGCCCACCTTCTAGCTGCCCCACTTTGAGACGTGGATCTGGGGCTGTGGTTCATGTGCTGAGGGCCAGATGGACATGACCAGCTCCCTCTGTCACCCTCCCAGGGAATGTAGCTGACGAGCTACAAGGAGCATGAAGGAGGGCCCAGTGAAGGCCAGGCAGCCCTGCTGGCTTCAGGATCCTAGGGCACAGACTGCCATACTAAATGAAATTTGGACCTGCTTGTCACATGCTGATACATCCAATTATTCATCCATTCGGCCATCCATCCATCCATCTACCCACTCAACCACCTATCATCCATCCATCCACCCATTTACTCCCCCACTGATCACCCATTCACTCATCCATCCATCATCCATCCATCATCCATCCATCATCCATCCATCCTCCATTCTCCATCATCCATCCATCCATCACCCTCCATCCATCATCCATTCACGCTCCATCCATCATCCATCATCCATCATCCATCATCCATCATCCATCTATTTTCCATCCATCCTCCATCCAGCATTCATCATCCATCATCCATCTATTATCCATCCATCACTCATCATCCTCCATCCATTATCCATCCATCCTCCATCCATCATTCATTCATCCATCATCCATCACCCATCCATCCATCATCCATCCATCTATCCATGTATCCTCCATCCATCTGTCCATCCTTTCATCCATCGTATGTCCTATGGTCCATCCACCTATCTGTCCATCTGCTGGCTCAGCCCCTCATCTACTGCTTTCTCCTCCTTTCCCGGTCTCCTTAGGAAGCTCCTCCTTGGGCAGGTCCTGGGTCCCAGGTGGCTGGGGCACCTTCACTATGGCAGCATTTCCCCAGTCAACACCTTGCTCTCCCTACTGCCCTTGGGTGACTGGACCCTTGAGAGGGGAGCAGTGGGCAGGGTTGTTGGGAGCTCTTACCCCACCTTGGCCCTGGGAACAGAGGTAGCCGAAGGCCAGGTCCCCTGGGGAGGCCCAGAAGGTGTCTAAGATAAGAGCAGGGCCTCGCTGCCCCCTTGTGGGGCTCTGGGGCCCAGTGTCCCAGGTGGTCATGGACTTCCCTTTCCATTCTGTTCCCCCTGCACACCCTCTGCCAGAGGCCCCACACAGAAGCTGAGAGGGGTCCTGGTGGGAGCTGTCTCTCTGGCCCCCCCCACACTTGCCCCCGTCCTGTGGTTTGGGCCAGGAGGGACCTGGGACAATGGGGTGGGCCTGGGGAAAACCCACTGGGGACTTGGATGGGGACTTCCCTTGCCTTCCCGAAGCTGGGCTTAGGCCATGAACTTTCTGCACCTGCAAGGCTCAGTGTGTGTGTGTGTGTGTGTGTGTGTGTGTTCACCCATGTAAGTGTGAGCACGTGGAGGATGTGTGTGTTCACCCATGTGAGTGTGAGCACAGGGAGTTTGTGTGTGCACCCATGTGAGTGTGAGCGTGGAGGATGTGTGTGTTCACCCATGTGAGTGTGAGCACAGGGAGTTTGTGTGTGCACCCATGTGAGTGTGAGCACAGGGAGTTTGTGTGTGCACCCATGTGAATGTGAGCACGTGGAGAACACACGTGTGCACCCATGTGAGTGTGAGCATATAGAGAACATGTGTGCACCCCCATGTGCACCCCCTGTGTGTGGTGCCCTTTCTTTGTGAGTCAGTGGGCTGGCCTGCGTCTCTGTGTGGTGCCTACCCAGGGGTGAGGGGCCCTGGAATCCGGCCCTCCTTCCATGCCATTCCTCTCATGCCCTGGCCCCGGCAGGTGGCGCAGACCCTGCCCTGGCTGCCCTGCTCCCTTCCACCGCTTTCCCTCCCGCTACGCCTCGAGGTGGCTTCTGAGACGAGCGGGACCATCCGTGGTGACCATGCCCTCAGGGCCCACTGAGCCGTGTCTGCCTCCCACGGCTCTGCCAGCCTCAGGCTTCACTCCAGCTTGGCCTCAATCACTGTGCACCACGCACTCACACTCACATGCTCACACTCACGTGCTCACACTCACGCTCACACACACACACAAGCGCACGGGTATGAGGGCACCTCGAGGTGCCCTGCCGAGAGGATCAAGTCAGGCGCTGGAGGGATGGTGGCTGCTTTGGGCGAGCACAG